TAAAATGCAGAACTTTATATGGAGCTCCCTGAAATCAAAATGTGTGCACAGCTTCGTGACTCTTAGCCTTGTCTACATAGCTGTTTCTGCCTGGGCTGCCCTTCCTCTCTGCCCAAGCAAGTATGTCCTCCTCGTTCAAGGCCTTGCTTCAAGGTGGCCACCTCTGTGAAATGCTCACTCTTTTCCCAGGCAGTGAGTTATTCCTTCCTTTGGGCTCGTACTGCACTCCTCTGTTACCTTTTTATAGCGCTTGCCATGTTTTGTTGTTATTTTTTTATTTCTACCTCGCTGCCCTGTCGGATTAGGAACTCCTTGAAGAAAGGAACCATGCCACTTTATTATTAGTAGTAGTAGTAGTAGTAATAGTAGTAGTAATATTTTGCCTTATTTTTATAGCCTTATTGAGCTCAGTGTCTGACATACAGTATGCAACCAAATGTTTCTATTTGTTGTTTTTGAAGTTTTTATAATGATATTTGTATCAGACACAAAGAGTACACCAAATGTCTAAGTACAGTTTAAACAAAATACCAAAATGAACACCAGTATTCCCACCACCAAGCCTATGAAAAAGAGTACTACCAATACCTTTTAAGTATAAGTTTTTAACTATATAAGTAAATAAATGTTACCTGTTTTCTTAATTTTGCTTAGTGTTCTAGCTCTTTGAGGTAATTTCAAATCTTAATTTGAACACATCCTGTAATAAGCTATTTTTCCAAGTGTTAGCATCTGAAAATATAAGCTTTTCTTCTATATCATCTTCTACTCCATTATTATTAAGCATGTTGACTAAACTAAGACCAAGGACAAATCTAGAGACCCCCTTACATAGTTGTGATTACTGTTGCCTGTGGCTGTTCAGCCAGTCACCTGACTATTCCATCGTACAAGCCTCATTTCAAGGAGAGCTAACATTTATTTGGTGTTTAACATATAATAAACCATTTATATGTGACAGCTTAATCTTTACAAAAGTCTTCCAGCATTCATGCATTCCTCCCATTTTGGAGTTGAGGAAACTGAGGCTCAGAAAGGCTACCTTACTTAAGATCACCTGGCTGAGAATTGGGCAGAGTCAGGACTAGAATCACGATGGGCCTTTGTCCCGACCCATACTTTCTCTTCTGTTGTTCACTGGTGTATCAAGGAACACCTAACGAAAACTTTTTAGAAATGAAGATTCCCCAACCCACTTGTCATCAAGGCCAGAAGGTTATGTTCACTTTGAGTAAGTCTGTGTTGGCTCTAATGGCCCTTGCTTTCTGCTCTTCAAAACAGATGAAAGACTCAAGGAAGTAATGGTAGCCTAAAATTAAGACTATAATTTGGCAGAGACAAATATAGAGCCTGATGCCTGACTGCTTTCAGTTTTTGTAATACTGGGCATATTATTTAGCTCTCTGCCTCAGTTTACATATCTGTACAATAGGAATAATAACAGAATTTTCCCTTAGAATTACTGTGAAGATTAAGTGATTTAATACCTGTAATATGCTTAGAATCAGGCCTTTACTAAGTACACAGTAAGTCTCAGCTATTGTTGTTTCTGCCAACAGTGCTGTTATTACTGGGAAGTCAGTGTCCTGCATGGACACCTGTCATCAATGTGGTATGATGAGCTCCCCTTCTTTAGGGTCATGGAGCAGCCTCCAGGCCAAGACAGCCATCAGCATGGAAGGAGCTTTCACAAAAACATTTTTAAATATTTAGGTTTGTGGCAAAAGATTAAACGACACATAAATACACAAGTGTGCATTCTTTTTCTCCCTCCCAAAACAAACCAGGAATTCCTAGATTCTTCTAAGAACACAGGACTTGAAAGTGACTAGAAGTACTCTTTGTTTCCTTGCTTTACACAGGATGTCTGAGGAGAAGCATATGCTATTCCAGATGAGTGGCCACAAACAGAGGTCAACTCAAAACTTTCTCTCTGGACAGAGCCAAGCAAAATCATCCTCTGACATTTCGGAACAGCAAAGCCACAATCTTCTAATGAAGTCTTGCTGCAGCTGATGCAGTAACATCCCCAAATTGTGGGGCAGGGGATGGGAAGAAGGGAAGTGACGTGTATCCTTCCTAAGCAATTGATGCATACAAGTAAAGAGCATTATCATAGAGTTTGAGGTCAACATCTGCCTCAGTTCAAATCCCATTGTGGTCGTCCGTGTACTAACCATGGACAACTTACACAACCTCTCGGGGATTAATCTCTCAAATGGGGCCAGGAGTTCTGGAAGCAGGGGTGTGCAGGACACAGAATGAGATGATTTGGCTTTGGCTCTACCTGTACAACCCCTGGGTCCTAAGTGGTAATGAATATGAACTGCCTCACTCACCTCAAAGAAGCTCTGGGACTTAGGAAAGAAATTTCTAGAATTGGCACCTGATAAAATTTTCACTAGGCAAATAAAGGCAGAGTGGTGAAAATAAGTACCAGTTAGTATGCGCTCCTTGTGGCTGGAACATTTGCCATAGCTCACTCATACATTCTTTCTCTCGCGCGCGTACACACCACACACTCAAACTCACCCACCTGAATAATTTCCATGCATATTTTAAATCTTAATTCATATACAGTTTCCTCAGAGAAGCATTCCCTGTCACCTAGACTGAATTAGGTACCTCGCTTGTGTGTTCTCTTAATACCTTTTGGCTTTCCCTCATTGATTCTCACAGTTGGTAATTATATATTTGTGTAATGATCTGATTAATGTTTGTCCTTACTTTTCTTATGAAAGCCTATCTTTTTTCTCCCTGAGGTTATTCTTTCTATTTTGATGTTAAAATGTTCCTTTTGAAAAATTGTCCTTATTTGACAAAATTTAAAGTTGACAATGTTATGCTGCTTTTGTTTTTTGCCTTCCTTCACCCCCTTCCCATTCTGGGGTTGGAAATCCTACTGATTCGAGGAATCTCTGGTTTGGTAAAGAGATAACCAGGGTAGCTGAGGTCAAGACAATTAAATAAGGTCTGTCCCCATGCTACAATGCTGGTAATCACATCTGTATCCTCTGGGCCTAGCACATTACCAAGCACGTAGTAAGGGCTGAGTAAATATTTGTGAAATATATAAATGAATAGATTCTCTGCCCAGCCTCAAGACCTGCTGGAATACAACTTGTATGCCTAACTCCCTTGTCTTCCCTACCCTCTAGCTAAATATTTCTGTGACCATAAATGTGACTTCAGCATTCCTTACTGCTGAATAGATGAGAAGCATGTACCACTGCAGATGAGTGAACACATGGTCTATCCCCACCTGTTCTAGTTCATCTGTTTACATGCTTTCCTTACAGTTGAAGGGACTGCTATGGTCTGCTAAAAAAAAAAAAAAAAAAAAAAAAAAAAAAAAAAGGCACTATCTTGATTACTGAGAGTACCTGAGAGCACCTCTCTTACCCACATGGCTTTGTTGTGGCTCTTCCCTCTACCTGGAATGCCTGTTTTACTTTAGCAAAATCCTACTAGTCTTTTCAAACTTAGCTTGTGTTCCTTTCTTTTAAGAAGCCACCTCTGTACCATTCCACTTGTCAAAAATAAAATGAGAACAAGTTAGGGAAAATTTGAAAGTTTACTATCTTACAAAAAGTACAGATTGCCATCAGCAAGACTTCAAGTGGTAAGAAGCTCACCTTATGGCAGTTACAGTGCAGTTTATGAAGCATTAAGGAGAAAGTATTTTGACCTTTTTTTAGTCATTGGCTGTTATGTGTTAACATTTTTTTTTTCAGGGCAAACAGGACTGTTTAAACTGATTTGTCTACAGCTGATTGATTTAATTTTCCTGAATCATGCTGACAAGGACCTAAAGCTTACGTTTTAATTTCATCAAATCATGCTGACAGGGGGATAAAGCTTATGTTTTATGCCTTGTTTATAATGAGAGCTAGCAACTCAGGGAAATCAGAATGACTTAAGTTTTACTACTTGATTCTGGGCAGTTGGCCTTGGGGTATATATCTAAATGGTGGCCTCTATCTTTGTATAATCTTTAGCATATTCCTCACCTCTTGTGCCCATCCACAATATTTTGTATTTTGTCTTTACCATCTCATGAACCACACTATATTCTATTTGTCTATATATTTGTATAGCTCCTCCACTAGATGAGAGCTTCTTGAAAGTAAGAACTCTGATTCATCTTTGTTTCTCCAGCACCCAATAGGGGGATGGGATTGCTAGTAGGTAGCAGTACATGTTTGTAAAAGGAAAGAAATATATCAGTTATTATTGTCCCCCAAATGCTAAGTTACAGACAAATACAAAACCTTAGTGACAAAGAACAGTAGACATTTATTTTTGCTCACTAGTTTGTTGGTTGACTAGGTGAGTCTGATGATCTGGGCTGGTCAATGCTGGTTACCTAGGAATATTTGCTGGTGTTGCCTGGGTTCTTTCATATATCTGGGAAATCACCTGAGACAACTGAACAGACTCAGCTCTGTTGCACATCTCCTGTCACCCAGCAGCCTTGTCAGGGCATGTTCTTGTGGCCAAGTTTGAGGAGCAAAAGACAGAACAGAAGCACACAGCCCTTTTGAGACCTAGGCTTGGAAAACTGGCCCAGTCTCACATCTGCCTCATTCTCTTGGCAAAACAAGTCACAAGACGGGTGTAGATTGAAGGGGCAGGGAGATAGACCCACATCTCAGTGTGAGGAGCTGCAAAGTCTCATTGCAAAGGGTGTTGACACAGGAAGGGTGGAGAATGGGGACCACCTTTGCAATCTCTGCCATAATGAGGGAGCCAACAGGGAAACACCTTATCAGTTTCTTTCCAAAATGATCATTTTTATTACCTTGACATTTAAATGAGTTTATCAGGAATGTTTCTTAAAAAAAAGGAGTCATGGCCTTTCTTGGGAGAGAGTGACTTCCCCACCATAAAAGGCATTCAGTAAGATGCTGAATTCCATGGTCATAGAAATTTTAGGAGGAGAACCCTTCCTCTACCCCTGAGAGTCAGTGTGTTCACATATTTTCCATCTTTCTTTCCAGATCAGCAAAGACCCGATTTTTGTACCAGGCGTCTGGGGGCCTTATTTCTCAGCCATGGTACCTGGGTTCTGGCTGAATGAAGGTGGTCAGAGTGTTACTGGAAAATTGGTAAGTTGACACTTTCTCAATAGAGTCATGGATGTTTTTATGTCATTGACTAGTCCATTTTGTCACATGACCCATATACCCAGTATCTGGAGGATTTGCAGACCCCTGAATCGGGGTTTACTTTCTCTTAGTGCACAGCTTAACATGTCGTACTCGTGCAGCTTGTGTTGCTCAAGGAAGAAGTGTTACAGCAGGCAGTGATGACCAGCCCTTCATCTCACCTGATCTTCCTTTACTTCAATCCATTTTTCTCGGAGTGATGAGAGCGGTATTCTACTCCATGAAAATGACATGTTACTCCCCAGCCCAAATCCTTCAGTTTTCCCCATAGCCACTTGAGACATGGCTCAGATAATTTTCTGGCTACATTATACAGTTCATGGTCTATCCCCTCCAGTCCCACACATGTGCCTGTTATTTACACTAGATTGCCCTCCTCACAGCTTCTCCATTCCTCCTGTCATTGCACTTCTCTATCCCTTTATACAGGCTACTTTCCCTGCTTGGGGAGTTCTTTACCATCTCAATAATTTTACTTGTCCTTTAAGATCCAACTCCAGCTCTTAGCACACTCTGTTATTCTTATTAGTCACTAATCCCCTTTTCTAGAACACTCTGAGCCCCTTAAAGACAAGGGCCATGTGGGACACAGTGACTCATGCCTGTAATCCCAGCACTTTGGGAGGCTGGGGCGGGCAGATCACCTGAGGTCTGAAGTTCAAGGCCAGCCTGGCCAACATGTTGAAACCCCATCTCTACTAAAAATACAAAAATTAGCCGGGCTTGATGGTGGGCGCCTATAATCTCAGCTATTCAGATACTCTCCTAAGACAGAAGAATCACTTTGAATCTGGGAGGCACAGGTTACAGTGAGCTGAGATCGCACCACTGCACTCCAGCCTGGGCGACAAGAGCAAAACTCCATCTCAAAAAAAAAAAAACTCCACAAAATAAAGATAAGTTCTCTTTGTATCCAGCTCAGTGCCAGGTTCATAGAAGGTACTTAATACAAACTTGTTGAATTATTAAGGCTGTCCAATAGGGGAGACAGAAGATTCATAAAAGTGAGATGAGTGCTGTAACAGAAGTACATGGGACAGAGTTGGCACAAAGCTAGTTTAGGAAACTCTACAGGGGAGAAGGCATTTGTGCTGAGCCCTAAGAGATAAATAAGGACAAACCAGGCAAAGAAGGGTACAGATAGTCACATTGGTAGGAAACTTCTATGGGAAGAAAGACGTGGAAGTGAAAAATAACAAGGCTAATTTGAGGGTAATGGCAAATAGTCCAGAAGTTCAGCTGTGGCACAAACTATTCTTAGAAGAATGGCTTACAGTAAAAGTTAGAGAGCAGGGCAGACACCACATCTCTGTAAAACATGCTAAGGAATTGAACTTCGTCTAGCAGACCACGGGGGAACCAGTGAAAGGTTAGAAGAGTATGTGGACATATTCATATCTTAGTCATAAAAATCTCTGCTTAGAAGCCATGAGGATAAAGGCCTGAGGACACATAACCAGAGTCAGGGAGATTAGTTTTAGTAGATTAGTCAACAGACAAAAAGCCACAAGGACTTGAATGAGGACAGTAATAATGATGACTGGGAATTGAGGTCAAGAGATTGGCAGGCTTCTGAGAGATCAAATGTGGAATACAGAGAAAGTGAGACCTAGGCTCAGTTACACACACTCACATTTACTGTTAAATTGAAAATATCTGCTTATGTTATGATCTAATTTGCCTACCAACTCTTCTAAATGTTCAGCCAATTAAAAATGATCTTATCCAAAGCTGGATGTGCATGCAAATAACTGTTAGTTTACATTTCTTAGTATAATGCTATTTTATACATGACTGCCTCAAATTCTCTTTCAAAGTAAATGGAAGCATAGGTGGGTAGATGGATTCAAAGAGCATGTTCTGTGCGATACTGTTGTGCCAGGCTACAGAAATGAATTAAATGAATTGGACCTCATCAGTCCCTGGTTTTAAGGAGCTCATACTTGGATGGGGAATCCCTGAGTATGAAATAAATCATGTTTGATTGGTCTCAGTAACCAATGCTAGAAAAGTTGAGAAGGAAGGCATCATCTATGGCTGCAGTACAGTAGAAATGCAGACCACTTTATATTCTCCTATTTAAACTTGTGCGATGTACTTAGACAACTTATTTTATTTTACTTTAAGTTCCAGGATACAAGTGCAGAACCTGCAGGTTTGTTACATAGGAATATGTGTGCCATGGTGGTTTTCTGCACGTGTTAACCCATCATCTATGTTTTAAGCCCTCCATGCATTAGCTATGTGTCCTGAAGCTCTTTCTCCCCTTGCCCCCGACCCCCTGACTGACCCCAGTATGTGTTGTCCCCCTCTCTGTCCATGTGTTCTCATTGTTCAACTCCCATTTATGAGTGAGAACATGCAGTGTTTTGTTTTCTGTTCCTGTGTTAGTTTGCTGAGGATGTTGGCTTCCTGCTTCATCTGTGTCCCTGCAAAGGACATGATCTCATTCCTTTTTATGGCTGCATAGTATTCCATTGTGTGTATGTGCCACATTTTCTTTATCTAGTCTATCACTGATGGGTATTTGGGTTGGTTCCATGTCTTTGCTATTATAAATAGTGCTACAGAGTTCCAAGATGGCCAAATGGGAACAGCTTCAGTCTACGGCTCCCAGCATGAGTGACACAGAAGACGGGTGATTTCTGCATTTCCCACTGAGGTACCAGGTTCATCTCACTGGGGCTTGTCAGACAGTGGGTGCACCCAGGAAGCACAAGGGGTAAGGGATTTCCCTGTCCTAGCCAAGGAAAGCCATGACAGACGGTACCTGGAAAATCGGGACACTGCCACCCTAATATTGCACTTTTCCAGCGGTCTTAGCACACGGCACACCAGGAGATTATATCCCACTCCTGGCTTGGAGGGTCCCACGCCCACAGAGTGGGCTCACTGCTAGCACAGCAGTCTGAGAGCCAACTGCAAGGTGGCAGCGAGGCTGGGGGAGGGGCATCCATCATTGCTGAGTCTTGAGTAGGTAAACAAAACAGCTGAGAAACTCGAAGTTGGTGGAGCCCACCGCAGCTCAAGGAGGCCTGCCTACCTCTGTAGACTCCACCTCTGGGGGCAGGGCATAGCTGAACAAAAGGCAGCAGAAACTTCTGTAGACTTAAACATCCCTGTCTGACAGCTTTTTTTTTTTTTTTTTTTTTTTTTGAGATGGAGTCTGGCTGTGTCTCCCAGGCTGGAGTGCAGTGGCGTGATCTCGGCTCACTGCAAGCTCCGCCTCCCGGGTTCACGCCATTCTCCCGCCTCAGCCTCCCAAGTAGCTGAGACTACAGGCGCCCGCCACCACGCCCGGCTAGTTTTTTTTTTTTTTGTATTTTTAGTAGAGACGGGGTTTCACCATGTTAGCCAGGATAGTCTCGATCTCCTGACCTCGTGATCCACCCACCTCGGCCTCCCAAAGTGCTGGGATTACAGGCTTGAGCCACCGCGCCCAGCCTGTCTGACAGCTTTGAAGAGAGTAGTGGTTCTCCCAGCATGGAGTTTGAGATCTGAGAACAGACAGACTGCCTCTTCAAGTGGGTCCCTGACCCCTGAGTAGCCTAACTTGGAGACACCTCCCAGTAGGGGCCAACTGACACCTCATACAGCCACGTGCCCCTCTGAGATGAAGCTTCCAGAGGAAGGATCTGGCAGCAACATTTCTGCAATACTTGCTGTTCTGCAGCCTCCACTGGTGATACTCAGGGTCTGGAGTGGACCTCCAGCGAACTCCAACAGACCTGCAGCTGAGGGTCCTGACTGTTAGAAGGAAAACTAACAAGCAGAAAGGACATCCACAACAAAACCCAATCTGTACATCACCATCATCAAAGACCAAAGGTAGATAAAACCACAAAGATGGGGAGAAACCAGAGCAGAAAAGCTGAAAATTCTAAAAATCAGAGCGCCTCTTCTCCTCCAAAGGAACACAGCTCCTCGCCAGCAACAGAACAAAGCCAGACAGAGAACAACTTTGACGAGTTGAGAGAAGAAGGCTTCAGACGATTGTTAATAAAAGACTTCTCCGAGCTAAAGGAGGATGTTCAAACCCATCGAAAAGAAGCTAAAACTTTGAAAAAAGATTCGGCAAATGGCTAACTAGAATACACAGTGCAGAGAAGACTTTAAATGACCTGATGGAGCTGAAAATGATGGCACAAGAACTATGTGATGCATGCGCAAGCTTCAGTAGCCAATTCAATCAAGTGGAAGAAAGGGTACCAGTGATTGAAGATCAAATGAATGAAATGAAGCCAGAAGAGAAATTTAGAGAAAAAAGAGTAAAAAGAAACGAACAAAGCCTCCAAAAAATATGGGACTATGTGAAAAGACCAAATCTACATCTGATTAGTGTACCTGAAAGTGACGGGGAGAATGGAACCACTTGGAAAACACTCTTCAGGGTATTATCCAGGAGAACTTCCCCAACCTAGCAAGGCAGGCCAACATTCAAATTCAGGAAATACAGAGAACACCACAAAGATACTCCTCGAGAAGAGCAACCCCAAGAGACATAATTGTCAGATTCACCAAAGTTGAAATGATGGAAAAAATATTAAGGGCAGCCAGAGAGAAAGGTCAGATTACCCACAAAGGGAAGCCCACCAGACTAACAGCGGATCTCTTGGCAGAAATGCTACCAGCCAGAAGACAGTAGGGACCAATATTCAACATTTTTAAAGAAAATACTTTTCAACCCAGAATTTCATATCCAGCCAAACTAAGCTTCATAAGTGAAGGAGAAATAAAGTCCTTTACAGACAAGCAAATGTTGAGAGATTTTGTCACCATCAGGCCTGCCTTACAAGAGCTCCTGAAGGAAGCACCAGATGTGGAAAGGAACAACCTGTACCAGCCACTGCAAAAACATGCTAAATTGTAAAGACAATCGATTCTAGTAACAAACTACATCAACTAACGAGCAAAATAACCAGCTAACATCGTAATGACAG